GTCAGGAAATCAAATAACACATTGTATTGGGCAAATCTGCTGCAAAAGACCTCTTTAAAGTGTTAAAAAGCAGAGATGTCACTTTGATGACTAAGGTGTGCCTGACCGAAGCTATGGTATTTTCAATTGCCTCATATGCATGCAAAAGTTTGACAATGAATAAGGAAGACTGAAGAAGAATTCATGCCTTTAAACTACGGTGTTGGTGACAAATATTGACTATACAATGGACTGCCAAAAGAACAAAGAAGTCTGACTTGGAAAAAATACAGCCAGAGTGTTCCTTGGAAATGAGGATGTTGAGACTTCTTCTCACGTACTTTGGACATGTTATCAGGAGGGACCGGTCCCTGGAGAAGGACATCATGCTTGGTAAAGTACAGGGTCAGAGAAAAAGAGGAAGACTCTCAATGAGATGGATCAACACAGTGCTGCAACAATGGGCTCAAACATAGTAAAGACTATGAGGATGATGTGGACCAGGCAGTGTCATTTTGTTGTACATAGGGTCTCTAGGAGTTGGAACTGACTCGACAGCACCTAACAACAACAACATCGAAAGATGAAAGCAAGTTCTAAATCAATATATCCCATCCAGATCTGGGATTCTGTGGCCTTTGATAAAAGAAAGCACTGTGTTACTCTCTTGAAGCATCACAGTATGGCATCTCCAGGTGTTATGGTGAGATAACAGGTTACTCCTAATTCAGTTTGCCTCCAATTCAATTCCCTAAGAGGTCATTCGAAGGATCTGGCATGGGTGCCAATTATTTGTCACTTCTGGAACATTCCTGCTTCTGGTTTCATCCTTTGCTCCATTTTAAGTCCAGGATTTGGCCCCTACAAGTATTGCAGTACAATGGATCACTTTTATACGGCCTTTCTTGCCATGATCTTGTAACTTCCACCAAATGACTGGGTAGGACTACGCAAATAAGGTGCTTATGGCTCACCAAGGGGATTGGACAGCTTGCTAATAATACAAATAAGGTGTATGGCACCCTTGTGGGGGTAAAAAAAAACCCATTGCCCTCGAGTCGATTCTGACTGATAGCGACCCTATAGGACAGAGTAGAACTGCCCTATAGGGTTTCCAAGGAGCATCTGGTGGATTTGAACTGCCAACCTTTTGGTTAGCAGCCAAACTCTTAACCACTACACCACCAGGTTTTCCTTTTGTCGGGGTAGGACCATACAAATATGGTGTACAGAACCTAACGAGGGCATTGGTCAGTTTGTCATCCCACTAGGCCTAAAATGAGCAATCCCAGAGCACAGGGGGGACATGACTACCATCAAGAAGAAACAGCAGTGGAGTGCATCCTTTGAACCTGAGATTCCTGCACTGAGACCCTCCTAGACCCAGGAAAAAGAGAGAGAGCAAGCTGTAACACCAGAGACAGCAAGATGGCCAGAAGCAGCAGTAGATAAACGGTGGCAGCAGAGGCAGCAGAACCAGGAGACCAGCAAGAGATGGTGCAGTAAGCTTCCCAGCCTATGAGGCTAGAAAGCTGAGCACCTCTGGGCAGAGGCTTGCTGGCGGAGTGCGGTGCCTCCAGGCACTTGTTGGTGTAGCTAAAGAGCTTTGTAACACTTGCCTGAGCAGGGCCCAGGCACGGCCTCAGACAGGGGCCTGCCTATGGGAACGGCTGAGAAAAGGCTGATCAAAGAACTATATCCTGAATTATAACCTATTACTTCCTTAATAAACCCAATAACTATAAGCATGATCCGTGAGTTCTGTGTGGCCATTGCAGTGAATTATCAGACTCAGCAGAGAAGTAGAAAATGCTGTGAGAGGGACAGTTGGTATCAGAATTGGTAAAAAGGTTGGAGGGTGGAGGTATGTTTGACCTCCACCTCATAGGAATCAGCCTTGGACTGTTGATCTTGATTCTCCTTCCTGCTTGTGAAATTAGAGGAGGCCAGACACCTCCGGCCTGCCATTATTACAAGTATCCTCCAATTTGCTGGATTCTATTTGCTGGCGCAGGACCGGGCAGTGTTTCATTCTGTTGTACATAGGGTCACTATGAGTTGGAATGGACTCAACAGCACCTAACAACAGCAATGTTCATACTCTCTATTCCAGTGTAGGAGCCCTGGTGGCACACCGGTTAAGAGCTTGGTTGCTAACCAAAAAGTAGACAGTTCGAATTCACTAGCCACTCCTTGGAAACTGTACGGGGCAGTTCTACTCTGTCCTATAGGGTTGCTCGGAGTTGGAATTGACTTGACGGCAACAGGTTTTGGTTTTATTCCAGTCTTGAAATGACAGCTGAGAGACTCTGCTAGGTATTATCCCACCAGTTTAACATCTACCCCTCCCCCCTTAGCTCCAGTGCATATTTCTATTACAGCATTTGCCATTCTGCACTCGACATAATTCTTCACTTGTAGGAGGCCGTGCTGCAGATGCTGGAGTGGACCACATATGGTCAATGCATACTTTCACCTCTTCCTAGCTGTATGTAGCTTCCTTCTCCACGCCTCTGTTTTCTCATTCTTAAGTATCAAATAATAGTTCCTGCTCCACAGGAACTACTGCTATAAGGAACAATTGGATAGTTCATGTCAAGGGATCAGCACAGGGTCTTTGTGTTGCTGTTGTTGTAGCGGCCATGGAGTTGGCCCCTGACTCATGCCGACCCCATGCACAACGGAAGGAAACAATGCCCAGTCCTGTGCCATTCCCATCAGGGATGGTTTCAAAGGGGAAAAGGATAAACTTTTTACAATGAGGGCTGGGGCTGGGGTGACCCAGAACTACTACTTAAAGGTCAGAAGTAACCACAAAGTAGCAGGAGTGAAGAAGCTTTTTCTTCTCAATTTGGCATTGTCCCAAAGCAGAGTATCAAGTTAGGAGGAACTTTAGAAGTAGGCCGAGAAACAGGAGGCAGCTCAAAGAACTGAGGAAGAACACAAACGAGAGCAAAAAGAACCAGAGTTTCACTGGGAAAAATCAAACAGGGAGAGAGTTTCCAGGGCCTATTGAATTTTGCAATTGGGTTTTCATTATTAATCACAAAAGCTATTATGTTTTTTATGCTAGGCGAAGATCACACATACAATCTCATTTAATCCTCACAACCATCCTTGAGGTATATTTTATTATCTGCAGAATAGTTCCGGGGATTGCTAAGGGCAAAATCCAAACTGCAGTGGGTTGAGAAGTGACTTAGTAGGGAGAATGTAGTCTGCATCTGGGATAAGTTTGGGAACAAGGGATTGAGCCCCTATGAAGGGCTAGTCTGTGTGCCAGTCACCTTAGCACTGTTTTCTCATTTCATCCAAGCAAATCTCTAAAAGGAATGTGTTGTTACTCACCTTTGAAGAAGAAATGGAGATTTGGAGACCCAGTGTGACTCTTGAGCTTATCTTTTTTTTTCAGTAAGGCCTACCGCCCCACAGAGGGGACAAACAGACATTAACTAAGGGTTTTCCTGCTCCTGGCTAAGCACATTTACACAAATTGTCACATTAAAACATCAGTTTAAATGCTAGTTTCATTATTAGTAGTGTGGTAATTAAGGGTCTGGGCCCAGGAATTCCTAAGTTTGGAACTCAGCTCAGTGTCCTTTTGCCTCCGTTTCCTCGTCTGCAAAATGCTGTTTGTTGTAAATATTTTTTAAAGATAATACATGTGAAAAATAAAGAATGAGTGCCTAGGGATAAGTGTGGGATAAAATGTTAGTTAGTAAAATCTCCATTTTGCAGCCAAGAAAAAAAGAGTCTCAGACCTAGCAACTTTAAGAGCCTGCTCTGCACTCCAGGGTCTCAGACTTAGAAGCCCTTATGTTTCATCACCACTGCACCATCCTGCAGGAAACCTCCTGAGAGACACTGAAAAAGAGAGAAGGAGAGGTGTTTATGGTGCGTTTGCTTTTTTATTTGTTTTTAAGATGGAAGAGATTCCCAGATGTTTCTCCTTGGGGAAGATGAATAGGGGCAAACTGATGATTCAGAAGAGAGGGGAGCTCAGGTAGGGCAAACTCTGAGAGGCAGGAAGGGGCACAGGTGCAGGGGTCGGCAGCTTTGGTCAGAAGCCCCAAGAAAGGGTATAAGAAGGGTGTTCACATTGTGACTTTGTTTGGAATTGGGGTGTGAGTGGGCAAGGAGAGGAGAAAGAAGCCAGAAACAAGCTCTTATTTTCCTCTGCCCACTTGCTCAACGCAGCCAGTTTCTGAAAGGATTAAAAAAAAAAAACAAAACAACCTCCAATCCTTTCTTTCTTCCTTGATCTTCCTCTTTCCCCCTCCTTTCCCCAACCACCCCCTCCTCTACTTCCTCTTCTCTCCCTCCCCCTACTGGTTCGTTGGTTACTTCCCCCTTAACTTCTCCCCAGCTATCCTGCGAAGGCGAGGGCGAGGGAGAGACTGGCTGCGAACTGCACAGTTCACTCAGAGAACTAGATCGAAGTCTCAGCCTCTCTCTCTCCTCGCACGCGCGCGCCCGCGCGCGCACATACACACACACACGCACACGCATACACACGCATACGCATTCACACGCATACACTCAAAACTCGGACTGGCCGTTCCGCGGCTCCTCCAATCGCTGGAAAAGGCGAGCGACCGTTCCGAACCGCTGCGTGCACCTCCGCTCTGGCACTCCGCCCGACGCAGTGCTAGTCTTCGTCCCCAGCGCGGCCGCTCTGGTCGGGTGTTCCCGAAAATAAAACGGGGAGGGAAGGTAGAGACAGATCCTGAAAACGCCCGGGACACACATGCCGCAGCGTTCAAGTGGAGACCGCGCCTGCAGCGCCCCGCGCCAGTGAGGTTCGCTATCGCTGCCGGAGAAGAGCCCACCTGCCGGTCCGCGCTTGGCCACCTCAAAAAGTGGGACTTGTCGCTGTTCTGCTCAAGCCGTGTCCCGGGGCTCCGGACGCTCTCGCCCTAGTTGGTTTGGGGTTTAACCCCTGGCTCTGCTGCGGTCCCCTTGCTCCTCCAGAGTATCCCCCCGCGACGCAGGGAGCGGACGCGACGCGCCGGGACCTCGCCATGGCTGGAGCGCGCAGGCTGTTCTGTCTGTGGCTGGGCTGCTTCTGTGTGAGCCTAGCGCACGGAGAGATACTAAAGAAGCATTTCCCCGAGCTCCGCAAGGCTCTGCCCGGCCACCGTGCGGCAGGTTGTGGCCCCGGCCCCGAGCTGCAGCCACGCGACAAGGTGTCGGAGCACATGCTGCGGCTCTATGACAGGTACAGCGGTGGCGGCAGGACCGAGGCGGCGCGGATGCCAGGCCCCCGCGAGTGGGGTTCCCGGTCCCCGCGCCCCCAGCCCCTGCACGAAGGGAATACAATTCGCAGCTATCGAGGCGGAGCAGCAGGTGAGTGCCCTGAGGCGCCCCTTTCCCGCAGTCCGGCCCCAGCTTTCTGCCGGACCCCCCACAGCGTGCTGGTCTGCCCTCTGCCCGTTAGTGCCCCCCAGGCACCTTTCCCCACCCTCCGCGGCTACCCCCCCGGGCCCCTCCGTGCAGTCATGCCGCGCGTTTCGCCAGCTGCATCCCTAGTAAGCCCGGTTTAAGAGTCCGAAGTGAGAGGGAGAATTGGAGAGAAGAAGGGCGCGGAACAGTGAAGGGAGTTGGCTGGAGTATCTGCTTGGAGAAAGGGAAGGGGCAACACCCCATGCCCAGAGGAGCCCTCCTGCCCTGGGCGTCTTCAGCATCTCGGGAATACCTTATGCAGATGATTCCTAAATCGGTCAGCGGAAATTCCCGTGGCCTGGGCTTTAGCCATGTTTGTCAAGTGGTAGATGCCTTTTTTTATGCCAATCCCTGGGCCGCCAGAGAAAGAAGTCACACTTGCCCTCCCTTTTAGATAGTCGCTTCTCCAGATCTTGTAGCCCCTCTTAACTCTTTCCTGCCCTCTGTGTTTAGCACGTTCTACTTGATGGCCCCTTGGTGGCAAACACACAAAACCTGGTGCTTGGGTGTTGTTATTTAAAACCCATCTAGGCAAAAAGGAGTTGTACTATCCACCCTGGGAGGAGTTGGAAAGGGGTGGGGGGACGGTGGTGGATGTAAATATCTCTTGGAATCAGCTGATGAAAATCTCCTTATGCCATTATTCAACAGAGATCACTGCAGACTGAAATTCATGGTTTAACAAGGTTTCTGCTAGCCCCTGTGGTGAAGCTTATAACTTATGCTAACGGCCTCCCTGGCTTGAGCTAACAGCTTGAGGGAAAGTTTCCTGGACACTAACTCTGTTTATATGCTTTGAGGATGCACCGCAGCTTTTTAGTTCACTGCATTCATGATAAAGAGAAATGTAACTGCAAAGCCGGTCTTCAGTGAAAATAGCCAAGAATCTCCAAGTAATGAGGCCAACCCTTGTTGCTCTATCAATTCTGTCAGAATCACTAAAAAGAAATCTCCCAAAGCTTTGATATGTAGGACTTCTGAAAAAAAAAGAAAAAAAAAAAAACTAAAGTATCCATCAAGAAAAACCCTAGGTTGACACTGTAAATACACTCCAGAGCTCATAGGCATGATGACATTTACAATAAATGTGAATTACGGTTTCTAATGCAGAAGCCTGAACCTAGTGTCTGAGCTGAACCAGATTTCATTTTCTTCTTAAAACCATGATCATGGTCTGTGAGGACCTGGCCTCTGCTAAGGAAACAGAAACCTGCTTTGGGTTATCCACAGCATCACAGCCACTTGATGAGGCTGTCCTGGCAGGTGACCACACTAGTGAATGCTCTGTTGACTTTCATGCAACTTTGAGAGCAGAGCTAATGAAGGAGCAATATGGAAGCAGGGATTGGAAAGAAGTTGGGTGGGCAAGGCAGGTGGCAAGAGTGAAGATACTCAAATCACTCCTATCTTGATATTCACTTTCTTGGAAATATCCTAGGGAGTAACTAGGGCACCTAAGAAACTAATAGTATTATCTTTTTTTTGGTATCAACTTGTTTTATTTTAGCATGAATCGTGGTTTGGAGGTGAAATTTGAGCTTGTTTCATTCACACGTTGTACAGGTTTTTGTTGTTTGTTCTGGACTGAGTGAACTATGAGTGGGAGATTGCTAAGGATTTGAATAATTTAGGTGCCATATCATATTGGCTTCGACTCATTCACTGCCTTATAATTTCAGTGTCCATTATCAGCCTCACTGTAGTCTTATGCCATCAAATGATGAACTCTGATATGAAGGCCAGAAGTCCCGTTGAAATGATGAATTTCAGCTTGAAGCATATACAGGGCTATGTGACTTGAAAAGAAAAGTAATCCTTTTAGCATCCTAGAGACTATCTTAATTGACAAACAGGAATACAAATAGTAAGAGATGTCCTAAAGTCCCATTGTTTTATTGTCTGTATTTTTCAAAGAGTTAATGACTTATTCATCAAATATAGACCCTGGTTTTTGCGGAAGTTTAAGTGTCACATTACCAGTTGGAGACTCCTGAAGAGGTGGTTCATGTTGGATCCCTTCCAAGAGTGTTTAGTTACTAACACACTAAAAAGACCTTATTATAAGGCAGTTCAGGCTCTAGTAAGGCAGGGCTCCAGGAAGGTGCTAGTGCTTTCACGTGTGTCTCTCCAGCTTCATCCATATCAACATTTCCGTAACACCCTCCACCATATGACATGTTCTGACGTAGGTGAAAGATGCTGTCTTCATTAATAAATTAGATATGTTTTCTAGCCCAAAGTGTTTAGGTTTCACAACATATGGGTTTCTCTGTACTAAAGATGTTACCGATTTTAATGGCTGGTCAAGTGGTGTGCTTTAGATCCCGAGTGGCTGCTAATCCGGCAGACTTTCGGAATGCTTATCCAGGCTGAGCTATAGCCTTACAGCCCTGTTTGCTCCTTGGAACGTACCTGATGCAAATTATTTATTGTTCTAAACCTAGAATATCTTTGGTTGAAATTGAGCTGCTGTGGTCTCCCCCTGATTACTTTCTACTTAAACCATTACTTTATGGTGGGTGGCACTCATCCTAAATACACTTTTTGCTAACCCCTTTTCTCCTCCCTCAGTGCTGCTCAGTTGGTGTGCCAAAACTGTAGGTTTGGAGCACTTATAAGTTTTTTTGGAGATGTGCATGGGCTCACATGAAGATAGGTTTTATCTTTCCCTTTGTAAAAGATAAGTTACAAAATATTGATGACAGAGTATTTCAGCTGTATAAAAACACACCATCCTGGAGGAAAATGAGAGGGATATGAAATCGGCATTTACTTTAATCTTGGTTTAAGAAGTTGTCCTTGGCTACTATTTAATAAAAGAAGAATAGTTTGCCAATGTTGTCTCCTCTCTTGATCCTTTAAGATAGATGTCACTTAATCTTAATTTTTTTTTAATCATAAAATGAACCTCTTTAGGAAAAGGGATTAAAACATGTGTTCTAATAAGAAAACTATTACTGTTTCAATTTATGAGATATAACTACATGTCAGTGGATATGCGTTGCCTTTTTAAAAAAAAAAATCACACAGATTTCATAGGTAAAAGGAAAGAAAATTGAAGTAATCCAAACCCGTAAGTGAATATATTGCTTCAATACAGAAAGGGGGGTTCTTTCCTACCATGACTTAAAACTTTAAAAATAAATATTTATGATTTTGACATGTGTATGAAGTACATGGCTAAAACCAAAGCTTTGGAAAAGATAATATGTAATTAAGGGCTGAATGGTCATGCCAATAGGAACCATGGGCCAGTGGGAAATCAACATTGTTTGATGGCTTTGATGATAAGGGATATAATAACTTTATGAAAACATAGTTACCTTGAAATGCCTGGCACCTAGAAACTAGGTTTGAAATGAAAGTGTACTCGGATTATCTGATGTTTTTGTTTAAAGGACAATAGTACATCTGGAGAGAGAGTGCTGGGTGAGCAGCTGCTTTGAATTATACACTACTTTGAATACATGATAGCCCTTAATGAAGTTTTTACTGTAATAGGCAAGACAGCTTTATAATCTCTGACATTTAAAAATCCATAATACCATGAATTCTTGATTATCATGCTAATGGAAAGGAAACAGAGAATAAATTATATAGAAAATAGTTTAAATTTAGTTTTGTAGTATAGTAAGACACACTCAAAGAGACCAAGAGACCATGAGGGTCAGTGAAAAAAATCCCCCTAAGCAGATAACTTACTCAGGGAATATGTATACATATAATAGAATTAAGACTAATTAAGAGGCTTACATACATTTTATCTAGGCACTGGAGTTTACTAAGTACTTGATTGACTGAGTTCACATTTTCCTAAGAATAAAATAGGGACATGAGTGTCAAATCTGCTTTTAAGTATTTTAGACTTGTAGATTTTTTAATTTTGAAAAGGCTTTGATGAAAGCAAGCCCAACCCCTGTCTTTTGTGGAAGAAGAAATGGACATTGTAATGTGTTTTTCAGACAATTTTTCAAACATACTGAGTTCATGTCAAAACATATTACATCTAACAGCTTAATCTAACTTTCTAGAGAAAATTCCACAAAAAGAGGTTTTGGAAGATGTTAACAGGTGTTACATAAAATTGTGTCCCATGGTCAAATAAGTTTGGAAATAACCAGGCTATAACAAAATGATACGTTTTCTTTGTTATGAGGACCTTTTAGGATCTTTAAATGCTAGTGAGTCCTCTTAAGAGGGGAGACTTAACTCCCCAAAAGAGTATTTTAGAGGACTGGCATTCTGACATGTCTGCTTAGAGAAACACTGGTTTAGAGCCCTCCTAATTTAGCAAGAAAGATACGCATTTTCCTCAAGACTTGATACTTTTGTGTCTTAGAATATTGGAAGGGAGCCATGCTCTACCATTTTGAGAAGACTATAAAAGAAGATTGTATGAAAGACTATGCAATCTAATCACTGACTAAGTGATTTGAAAAAGTTATGAAAATAATGTGATGGTGAATCTTAATATTAAATACACAGCTGGATACTGTCTCATTTCTTACTTCCCAGTTATACTTGTCTAAGGATGTTTATTTATATTGTTACTTGTTGGGGTTGGCTCCTATTAGCATTGTACCACCTTCCTGCTTTCATGTTTTAAACTTCCCTGAATATAATTTTAGTGTCTCTCTGTTATTAAATTTCATGTTTTTGTGTATCTTTATGAATTCTCCTTCATTGTCACCTTCTGCAGGATTATTGTGTTGTGTGTTGTCAATTCCGACTCATTGCAACCCTGTATGACAGACTAGAACTGCCCCATAGGATTTCCCAGACTGTAATCTTTATAGGAGCAGATCATCAGGTCTTCTCTTCCACAGAGCGGCTGGTGGGTTCCACCTGCTGATCTTTTGTTTGGCAGCCAGGTGCTTAACCATTGTGCCACCAACGCTCCTTCC